GCCCGCGCCCTCTCCGCAGACCGGGCTGCGCGGCGCGTTCCTGCCGTGCGAGGAGCCCCGCGGGTGGCCGGGCCATGGCCTCTCCGCAGAACGGGCTGCGCAGCGCGTTCCTGCCGTGCGAGGAAGCCCTCCCGGCTGTGCCGCAGCGATTGCGGGGGTGCTTAGCCCGAGAGCCTCCTGCCTGTCCCTTGAAGGCCCCTTGGGGAGCTGCGCTTCCCCTGCTGACTGATTCCAGGGAACGCTGCACGCCTGCTCCCTGCCTTCCCTGCATCTTGCCCTCCTGTTTAGACTGGTGCTTTCTGCCCGTCTTGTGGCCAAAGCACGATCCTGCCCGTCTCCGGGAGCCACCTCCTCTCTCACCTCTTGCCACCTGTGGGTTTGTCTTTCTCAGCTCCTGGTGCTCAGCAGTTCTGCTTTCTGCTCTCTACCCGCGCTGGTGGTCTGGGCATAAACCTTGCTACAGCTGACACGGTCATTATTTACGATTCTGACTGGAATCCCCACAATGACATCCAGGTTTATAACTGTTTCTTTTCCTTCCAGTATAGTAAGTACCTTTCTGGCTGGGCCCTCTGTTTGCACATCTTATAGACCAGCTTGATCCCAAACACAGGCCCAAAGCAGTTCCTTTCTGGCAGGGAGCTGACACTTTCTGCAGTACTTGCAGGGCATGACTGTGTTTGGGAGCCCTCTTCCCGGCTCCACTGGCCTGCCCGGTGCAGGAGGGGGCCTGGCAGGTGAACGCTGGTTCCTCCCATGCGGTTCTCACCTCTTCCTGCTCCCTCTTCACAACCAGGTGTCCCCTCCTCTTTGGAGAACTTCCAGTTTTGCTTCCAAAAGCCCATGGTGGATCCCTACCTAGTGGTGACCACCAAGGGAAAAGAGCAGGAGAAGGGAATCCCCAGGGAAAGGTCTGCTTTCCTAAGCGTCATACACCTTTCTCACCCGTTTTCACTGGTGTTTCTGTCTCCTGGGGCGAGGCAAGGGCATGTGCAAGGGGGTGCAGGCCGGGGAGTGCTCGGAGTGCGGTGCGAGGGGAGCTTGGCCAGCGCCGCGCTTTGCCCGCAGGCCTTCAGCAGGGCTCACCGCATCGGGCAGAACAAGAAGGTGATGATCTACCGCTTCGTGACCCGCGCCTCCGTCGAGGAGCGCATCTGGTGTTTCTGTCTCCTGGGGCGAGGCAAGGGCATGTGCAAGGGGGTGCAGGCCGGGGAGTGCTCGGAGTGCGGTGCGAGGGGAGCTTGGCCAGCGCCGCGCTTTGCCCGCAGGCCTTCAGCAGGGCTCACCGCATCGGGCAGAACAAGAAGGTGATGATCTACCGCTTCGTGACCCGCGCCTCTGTCGAGGAGCGCATCACGCAGGTGGCCAAGAGGAAGATGATGCTCACCCATTTGGTGGTCCGGCCGGGCCTCGGCTCCAAGTCGGGCTCCATGACCAAGCAGGAGCTGGACGACATCCTCAAGTTTGGGACAGAAGAGCTCTTCAAGGACGACGTGGAAGGTGAGAGGGGCAGGGGCCGGGGCGCGCTAGGCGCCGTGTCCCAGGGCCAGCGCCCCGGCGTGCCGGACGCCGTCACCGCGTTCCCCGACGCGCTCTCCGCCAAGGGCGGCGCAGTGACCCCCGGCATGAAGAAGAAGCACGGTGGCACCCCCCCAGGTTGGTGGCCTCCCCCTGCCTGGCCTGCGTCCCCCCGCCCCCGCCGCTCCGGGTGCGCGCTGCCCCACTCGTGCTCGCTACGGCACGGGGATTTGCCTCTCCGGTGCCTGGCCTTTGCTCCACAGGAGACAACAAGGATGTGGATGACAGCAGCGTGATTCACTATGATGATGCTGCCATCTCCAAGCTTCTGGACCGGAACCAGGATGCAACTGATGACACAGAGCTGCAGAACATGAACGAGTATCTGAGCTCCTTTAAAGTGGCCCAGTATGTTGTGAGAGAAGAGGACGGTGTGGTAATGTGACAGTATCATGTCTTCTAATTGCATCTCCTTGTATATCCCTCTGTTTGCGTTTCTTCCGCCTGGCTTCTTACTTTTGCAAGTGTTTTTGTGCCGATGGCAGCAGTGGCAGTGCAACCGGCAGGATCGCACTGGGCTGCTCACGGCCCGGGACCCCAGGGCTGGCGGGGACTGACTGCAGGCAGGGGGACACAGCGACCCTGGTGCTGCAGTCGGCGGTGCCAGCTCTGCTCTGCACTGCGTCGCAGCGGGTCTGTGCGCGGGGACGAAGGCCGTGGCCGGGCAAGGCCGCAGCCCGTTTCCCTGCCGTGCGCTGACCGGCTGCCCTCATCGGGCCCAGCCTGGGAAGTCTTGGCAGACCCACAGGCCTTTCCCTGGGTGTGAGCATAGGTGCTCCCGAGCAGGTGGAGGGCAGTGTCCGTAGGAGCTGTTCTGGGGTATGGATGTCTGCCTGGGAGGCTGCACTCAGGTCAGTTTGGTTGGGCAGAGCCCCGGAGCTCAGGTCGGCGTGCGTTTGCACGAGTGCTGCAGGATGGAGGCAGCAAAGCACCAGCCGGTCGAAGCGTGTCCCAAGGGCTTGCCCTCAGCCACGACTCAGCATCCTCCGTCCTGCTGTCCCTGTAGCCCGTGGGGGGACAGGTCCCAGGCTGATGTGACTGCCCCGTCTCATGTCCCTCATCCTCTGTCTTGCAGGAGGAGGTAGAACGTGAGATCATCAAGCAGGAGGAGAACGTAGACCCTGACTACTGGGAGAAGCTGCTCCGGCACCACTATGAGCAGCAGCAGGAGGATCTGGCCAGGAACCTGGGGAAAGGCAAGAGAATTCGCAAGCAGGTCAACTACAATGATGCCTCGCAAGAGGACCAAGGTACTGGGTTTCTCCACATGCGAGAACGTGTGTTTTGGAGCGCTTTGGCACGTGATTTCCTGGTTGCCGCTTCCTCCTCCCTTGTTGTGCTGCCCTCACCTGTGTGCTTGCCCCAGGGCAGCCTCCCGTGTGCCCTGCACGGCCCTCCTGGGCACGTGCCCAGGCTCCTGCTGCGCGGGCACGGTCCTAACCTTGCCTTGCTGCTCTCTGCAGAGTGGCAGGACGAGCTCTCCGACAACCAGTCTGAGTACTCCATTGGCTCTGAGGATGAGGATGAGGACTTTGAAGAGAGACCAGAAGGTCAGAGTGAGTTAACGCATTGAATGCTTCCCAGTATTGCCCTCTGTAGGTAAAAGAGGCAGGATGGCAGGAGTAGCAGACGTGGCATCCCTTGCCTGGTAAGCACAGAAGAGTGCCCCGGCTTTGGGAAGGCCGCTGCGACGGGTGCAGAGCGCCCTGCGCACCAGGCTGCGCCCCCAGCAGTTGCTTACGGGCCCGTGTGCCGTGGGGAGGGAGCCGGGAGCTCCGCTGGGCTCCGTGGGGCTCGGAGCCAGGGCAATGCTGGCGGCACCTTCCCCTGCGGGGGGTCACGGGGGGCTCTGCGGCCCCTCTGGAGGGGCAGCACCCCCCGGGGCTCCCCGGGCCCCCCCGCCACTGGGCTTTCCTGACTGCAGGTGGCAGAAGGCAGTCCCGGCGACAGCTCAAGAGCGACCGCGACAAACCTCTCCCTCCCTTGCTGGCGAGAGTCGGGGGCAACATCGAGGTGAGGGGGCTCTTCTGCCAGGCTCCGTGCTGGGGCCGCAGGGACGGCACTGCCTGGGGCCAGGCCGACCGGCC